GGGGCGGAGCTTCTTCTTAACTTCTTCCTCGAGGTTTAATTTACCCATCCATCAAGTTAGAGGGGTGACTGCATTCAATTTCGATTTTTTCCAATTTATTTTTCACCGGTAGGCTCACCCGCTCTTATCTATGGAATTTTAGGGTACTTCCCCGTCGCTCCGCCTGCTTCTCCCTCCGTCCGCAAGCGAGTAATTGCCGCAGATAGTGCAGGAAAACTCTTTGCTGCGAGGGTATCAACGGCCGAGCCACGGCTGTGATGGCATATCTTCACAGCTATACAAATTATCTTTTGAGTATAACTCTTCATAAAGATCTTTCATGACCTCAAGGTGTCGAAGGGGCTCGACCCACTAATTCTTTCTTCAAGTGCCAGTGTACTTGTTGAATATTCTGTAATATCCCTTTAATTCTTACCCCAATCGGTTCTTCGATTCTGACAGTTCGCAGGTTCTGTTCCTCTCATCGATTTTCTTTTTAGAGTTGAAGATTTTTTGGAGAGAAACGAAGATAAACAATTAGACTGACAAACCGTCACACCAGAACTTGAGGGCCGACGGGACGGTGACCATCATTAGAAGGTAAATCAGGGGTTGGTAAACCTGGATTCGTTCCTTCGAATAGCTTCCTTTCTTTTAGCTTTCTCTGTCTTATCCTAGCTGAGCTTTGCTCTATTTTCATTAGCGATCTCAGCATAGATTATGTTTGTAGAAAGAATTTCTTGCTAGAGCATGAGATTGTGAACATTGACAAGCGTCGAGTTCCATACGCTAAGTCTATAGGGATCCCCTACAGAGCGGAATTTAGTCTGCTTCAACAGGAAAAGATGATATGACCCATTTCACTGGATTTTTGCCTACGTTTTACATATTGAGCGGCATTAGCTGTAGAAGAGTTGAGTAAGGGTTCAAAATGGCTAAATGATTCTCACTTGTATTGTGAAGGCTCGCAGATGACGTCGTCGTCGCTATCATAACAGTTCATCTCGTCTTCACCATGGTCACAGTCCTAAATACCTTCGCTTTCTATTAATGGAAACTGACGGTGACGGTAATTAGCGTAGAATCAAAGAGAGAACAGGATCATGTAACAACAAATATCGGGAAGAAATGATTGTGAAAAATCAAAAGTGACATCCTCTACATAGCTAACGCAGTAACGCAGGATTCAAATTTACCAACTGTAAACAAATTGTCAACAACGAATTGTCAACAAGCTGTCTTGATTTGTTTCTCTTATGACAATCGGTGTTTCTCATGTGGTGCTATTAGGTGTGTGCATTAATTTCCGCCGTTTTTTGCGTGCAAAAACATATTTATTACAGAATTAAAACCAAATGTACATTAACCAATGTATTGCCCATCGTTAGCTACAATTTTTGCCATCTATCTTGTTGACTCCGGGTCTAAAAAAGTCTTCATCTTTTGAGGCAATCTAGTCATCCACCTATTTTCGCACTTTTTCGGCATGCCGGAAGCGTATATCTGCCAAACTGACTTGCATGGACCGGAATAGCTGGTAATCAGAAAGAGCAAGATCCGGAGAGTATGCAGGCTGAACAAGCTGATCCCATCCAACAACTGCAATTTTTTTAATGGACATTCTTCGCAACATGGGGACTGGCATGTTCGTGGTGGAACAGCACCTCGTGATATTTTCTTGCGATTAAGGCGAGCTTTTTGGTGAGAGCATCCTACAAACTGTCAAGTTGGTGTTCGTAGCGGTCAGCAGTAACAGTTTCGTTCGGGCACAGCAGCTCATAGTTCAAAACACCCATTTGATTCCACCACGAAATGCACGCACAGCATTACTTTTTGGTAATAAACATTCCGCTTTCGTTGCAAGCTCGCGAGTGAAGAGAAACTA